AGAAAAGCCATCCTTGAAAGGGTGAGCTGGATTGGAGGAATTCTATCGTATACACGGACAGAAATGGTTAAGATTCTCCAACTTCTCACAAGGAATGGCTTCTGGACATAAGCACTGGTGCTCCAATGTGACCTTCTTAAAGAAAGCTTCGAAATACTATGGATTTCATTACTACATTAGAGGGATTCAAATAGAAACCTATATTGCATTGTAATTCGAGAATTTGCCACACTGCCCTAGGAATAATTCACATAATTGTCCTATCAATGTCCTAAGTTTATATTGCCCTAAGTTAGAGAGCCATGGTGGCACAGTGGTTAGAATGCAGTATTGCAGACTAATTCTGACGACTGCCAGCAGTTCGATCCTGACAGGATCAAAGTTGCCATCCTTCCATCCTTCCATCCTTCCAAGATGGGTAAAATGAGGACTCTGATTGCTGACTCTACTGTAAACTGCTTAGAGAGAGTAAAGCACTATGAAGCGATATATAAGTCTAAGTGTTATTACAATAATAAAACTTGTATACTATACATTATACCAGGGGTATCCAAACTTGGAAATTTTAAGACTTGTGGGTTTCAACTCCCAGCATGTTTGGCTGTGGAATTCTGGGAGTTGAAGTCTACAAGTCATAAAGTTGACAAGGTTAGACATCCCTGCATTATACAATTCTAGAACTTTAGCTCTTAGACACATCTACATACTCTGCCCTACACACCATTTTTTAAAAAAATGAAGTATATGTACACATTATATATGTAATAAGCACTATGCCAGTAAAATTACAAGCTTGTTACTTTATCCGGCATGCGACACTTCCTAACAGTCAGCATATGAATGTGATCTTAAGTTTAATGTTCTGCTTACTATTTCTGAACTCAGTAATAAGTATAATCTTTATCGTCATTGCACTTAAATACAACAAAATTGGTTAATTAATACAGTAATTAATTTTCTGTATTACCAAATCTTCCTATGAGTTCTCTATAATCTTGTCATGGGAGAAAGGAACAATTGTTCTTCCAGTCATCATTCAGCCATTTTTATTACTCTTTTCCGATTCCTTTATTTGCAGTATCTTTCCTAAGAAGGTCCAAGTTTATTGTTGCAGGAAATACAAAAGTAATGAAAAGATATTAATTACCTTCAAGAAAGGCACAAGGTAAGGTTGAGGTGAAGAATTAAGTTCCCGGTACAATCTACTGGTGAAGTCTTCTGCTTCAATCTTTCCATCCTATGAAATACATGTCAAATTTAGGGAATAAATCACAATACTAAATTTTCATACGTTTAAGATCACAAATAAAGATACTGTAATGTGTGGTAACATTACAGAACTTTCTTTCATTAATTAAATTAAACAGTCTTTTTATTAATTCATTTAAATATCTGTTTGTTTAAGGGTGACACGTTATGGACTTTACTAAAATGACAAAGGGACTGCTGGATAAGTCAAAAGTTGGGAAGGAGGAGAAACCCGCCAGAGTTCTTTTTTAATCCACAGATCAGTACCTTAACCTAAGCCCGTGATGGCGAAGCTATGGCATACGTGCCACAGATGGCACGCAGAGCCCTCTCTGTGGGCATGTGAGCTGACACCCCAGTTCAGCTCTGCCGCGCTTGCATGCACACCTCCCACCTGCCAGTTGGTCGTCAGGTCTCTGCCGTAAATGCAGGGTGGTGGGGTGCATACAGGGGGTCGTGCACGAATGTGGGAGGCACATGCACGGGGGCGCGTAGACATGTGGGGGGCAGGAGGCATGCAGGGGGCACAGGAGGTGCATGCGCATTGCATTTTGGGGGTTCAGGCATGTGCACATTCGTGCACCCTTTGGGCAATCGGTCCGGAAAAGGTTAGCCATCACTGACCTAAGCAAATCTCACAATGTAACCCATAAAACTTTCAAGATTTGGCTCTTCCAAGAAGCTATTTAAGATTTAGGATTAGATTTAGGGTTAGGGTTTTTAAAAATGTATTCTTTAATCAATATTGTGATTTAATTTTACTTTTAAAGAATATTCTTGTTTCCACAACATTGCTTACAATCACATGATCTAAACCAGGGTTGCAATAATTATTTGAACAGATCCTCTTACCAGCAAGTTCTGGACTAGCTCTTTCACATTAGCTGCAGTTTCCGTCGACTGCTTTCCAGAAGAGGCCAGTTTTATTAGCGTTGAGAGAAAATTCTTGCATTTCTTCACATTTTCCATGGTTTCCTATTAAAACAAATAAGATAAAACAGGTCAGCTTTTCTTTTTTTTTAAATGCAAGATAGAAGAAAAATAACAGGCTCTGAGATCTAAAAGGGTGACTGAATAATCAACTTGAGAAAACTTGTGTGCAGTTCTTTGATCCTCAAACCATTTGCAAAGGTTTGAAGTGAGTAAATTTAATAGTAAACAAAAAAAACCCACCTCCACGAGCATTTAAATAGGCAATATATTTCTTTTACAAAATTACCAATTGTAGATTTTGCTTATACACGTAGTGTTGTGGCCCAGCAGGAGCCGTTGGAGCTGCCACCAGACTCCGACAGCGAGGGGCCCTATGAGTCGCGCTGGAGGATATGGAGGACCCTGGACAGGGTTCCAACTCCGAGCAGGGTGCAGAGAGGCTGGTTGGCCACCAGGAGGCGCCTGAGCCCTGGACCAGCGGGC